TTTTCAGTAAACTTTTCACGTAAATTTCTCCCATTAAACTCCGATTGCGGGCCGATTGTTAGCCACGATCGCACGTACGGTTGCAGCCTCCGCTCAATTAAAATTAATTTGTGCCCGAAGTTTCCGTACGTCTGAACGGTATCTCTTCGATTAGCGCGCGCGATACGTTACATCATTCTATTTCGCCATTCTAAAGCACGCGGCGCGTTCAACGGATGCACACGGTCGCGCACATCCTCGTTAGGTATAGCTGAATGGATCATTGTGCCGCGAAAATCGTGGCGCTTGATCGTCAAAGCGAGCGACGTGATCGTGCGGCCAGGATCCTGCGTGTCCGCCAACATAAGGGTTGATCCTGGATTCAGCAGATCCCGCGCGGAGGATTTCGTCCCATTCGCACGGAAACCCAATTGCGCGGGTCTATGCGTCATTAGCGCTGGAAACGGAGTTAACGCCGTTAAATCCGGGTCGGTCGGTCCAGCCGCGATATTATTCACACTTGTGCCAGCCGTTCGTTCATTCGGTCGCACAGATTCGTCGTCTCTATACGTGAAATGACGACCTCTCGTGCGAAATGCGAATGAGCGATCGTTCGTTCCGAATAACCTCATTTTCGTCTCAACGAACTTTTTTTTCTCTCTCTCAGACCTAGTTCTCTTCGACTGCTTGCATCCTCTCGCGCGCGCGAAGCTTCTCTCTCACACTCCTTTAGCCCTAGCATTAATTTGTTAGTTATCGTTATTTGTTAGTTTATCGGCAGATCCATCAAAAAGGACACACTTTGTATTGATATGCAGATTCAGTGATATACAATTGCGTTAAAATTTGTGTTAAACTTAATACATTTCACTTATTACAAAAAGATACTCAAATTTTTATGTTAATTTAATATAAGATGAATATGTTGGAAAATAACACAAACATTATGTAAAATTTAATACAAAAAAATGTAACATTTATACAGGCTACAGTCCATGATACTACGAATGCTTTGAAGTATTTTTTGATTGATTAATTAATAAAATTCTTTCTTATAATATATATTATTGGTCAGTCAAATTCTTCGAAGCATTTATAGTGTTAACTGCACTCTTTGACACAATTTGGGAACAAATTTTTTTACATTAAGAGATGTTAAATATATCAATTTAACACAAAATATTCGAATAACATAATCACATTGTATTAACTTAACACTCAGATATGTCAAAAACATGACATAAAAATGTTCACAAAGATCAGTTTTAACACAAGTACAAAATAATTTTTACTTTATATGAGATTTGTAATCTCTCCACTTCTTACGTCTACAAATTCAAAACTGATTTTTATATATCAATAAGTTCACAGCAAATGTAAGAAATAATCGCATCGAATTTAGCAAAGATTGGGAAAGTCTTGATAATAATCACGGTTCGAGAATTACGCGTTTTACGCAGTAAAATAAATTTTTCTTACGCCTGAAAAGTTACTGACGAGAAATTTTATTTCCTTTAACGTTCTATCAATATCGAATCTTGTCGCTTTGCCAATATTTTTCATGGCTTATTCGGCAAATATTTTCGATCTACAATACACGAACTAAAAACTGGGTCACTTTACTGATGCAAAATGGACCACTACGTAGAAAGAGTATTTCAATATTTTTACATTTACTAGTGAATTCACAAACGTGTAAATAACTTTTGTGGATATAATAAACGAATGGATATAACATGATGAGGCGTTAAATGCACAATACTTTATATTCGATAAAAACAAATGCGTTTATTACGCGCGTCCTTAAAATGTTTATTTTAATCGTATGCATTTAATTAAATATGTCATAATTTGTTTATGGATACCCGCATGATTATATACGTTGTTTACGAGCCGCGAATTACAGTCGTGTATTTGCTACATTAACAAATTGCTTTTTCACTAATTGAAAGATTATATCAGCTGCAGATCATAGTGCAGAATACAAAGGATAGTTCGTTGAAGTAAACACAAATACCCCGTGAAGTAATACCAGTGTTTGCTTAGTGTTTCACTTGTGCGTTTACAATTAATTAATTTGTTCACCACATGTTCCGTAATTAGCGTAAGTGTTTGGATACAAATCCGAAACCCGTTGACGTGCGTAGTTAGATAAATTTGAAATAATACGACTTGTGTAACGCTACAATTATTCTGTCATCTATAATAATTCATTGCTCAGATTAACTGGCGCAAAATTAATCGATTGTATTTGCGAGACTTTCACATTGCGCGGCTTTTAATATGAAAATTACAAATTTTTCCGGAAATTTATTCCGACTCTCATTCTGCACTTAATCCAAGTCTCAAAGGACAAAAGTATGAAAGTAAATGCTAATGTCAGATTCGCGCGTGTTTACACAGCTATATATTTATCTTATTCTTCGAAATTATCACGAGATCGTAACTTTTTTTTCTTAAAATATAACATGTTATATTAATAAGTTGTTATTTCTCTTTGTTAATTGAAATACATATTGAGGAGAGCTCCTTCAAATATTCAAACACGACAGCTGCATTTACGAAAAGTAAATTAAATATCACGAAAAACTACACAATCGATAACGACGTGCTCGCGGTAATATCATTCAACGGAGAAAACTTATATTAGTTTTGCGAACGAAAAATATACAACAACGAGAAAAGGATATTTTATCCGGATAAAATTGCATTTCTCGATATCAAGTTTTCTTTGAAGCGCTCAAAAGCTTCAAGGTAGTTTGTAAAAAGGTATACGTTGCAAACTATAGGTTATTTTTTTATGCCTTTTACCTGGACGAGATAATAAAATTTTAAGAAAGTTATCAAGTTAAACGCATAATAAGACATGCCTTACGGCACTTTTTCCTAGTGCTTGATTTGCGCATTATACAATAACGATGGAATCCAGCTGATTCACCGAGATCCTCACAATCGAGCAGCGAGCCTCGTGCTTTCGTATATAAGGAACTATCATTCGCATTTCAATGCTGGTCGCGTCTCTCTCATGACGAGGAGACGCGACGAGGCTTTAAGTAATATCGATATCGATGCGAAAAGGCGGGTGTCGGACGCGAAAGAAAGAAGGAGCGCTCGAGACAGAGGGAGGATTGGGGGGTGAGGGTGGAGACGGAAGAGAAGAAACGAGCGTTGCGAATGCATCGATATTGAATTGAAAATGGATCGCGCGGAAAACGGAGAGGAAGAAGAGCTCTGCTTCGGCGGCGAATATAACATAAATATCCTCTTTCCTTCCTTCCTGTCTTGCGCCTTTCATTCCCCTGCTTATTCACCGTTTATACATATTATTGAGCTTGAAAATGCAGATATCGCAAAATGTTATCCCTGCTTCCTTGAGACGATTACGCGACGTTAAATTAATCTTCTCTCTCGCGCTGTTTTTCCTCTACTTCTTCATCCCCTCCACGCGGAGCAAATCAATTTTCTCTATATCTGTGGGCTCGATTTCTATCTCAGCAAAATCTCGCCCTTCTTCCTTGCCCTGGCTACGATAATAAAACAGTCGGAGGACGGGACGCGGTAATGCTTTTTATTAAGTTTTCCTCGATAAACGTACCACTTGACTGTCGCGAATGCGACTTCGCGACCGGAGGTCTTCGGGGAATTTTTCCTTTACGCCGAGTTGCGCACGAGGACGATTTAGAAATACGGGATTATTAATTTCATGAACACTCAAAGGAGAAAAGAATCCAAGCGAAATTCACTCGGGGTCTCAAGAGAGACGTTTTTCTTTCTCCTTTATACGATTATACTTTTATTTCCCGACGAAATTACAATATAAATTATTACGATACGTAATATAGCTATACGATAGAAATTGTTCCGTAAAGGTATATATTTGTTTAAGCAAACGAAAAAAATAAAATGCCCAAATAAAAGGAAGCGGTTTTGTAAAACCAATTGCCTTCTTGCCACGGAACGATGTAATTAAAACGAAATTCTTGTGAGTATACAAGCTTGTTTCGAACTATACCGTTTTCGTCTCTCGTTCCCTTGAAATTTTGCCGTCTGTTCCGCGTGTGTTTGCCCGTACGCGAGTTTCAGATATTCCATTACGACTTGCGCTCCGAGGTAAATATAAAAATGCTTCCCGTTCTTCCTGCATGTTTTACCTTTCCGCGCATAAATCAGAAAAGAATCTCGACATAACTCCCCGAGATCGGTTTCGGGTTAAAGTAACTGCGCAAACTTGGACAGTCGTGTGTCCCCTTTTATCTCTCAAACTGTGCAAGAGAATTTTGCTGAGCAAGGCTGCAATACGTAAACGCTTTGTGAAATTGTACACAGCATGCAGTAAAGCAGTTAAGTAGTAAAAGCGTATTACATATCGAACTTCGATTCATTAGTCTCGCTAAGAATGTTTAAGCTATTATGTAATCCCAAATTAGGCGCAACTAAAATATGTTTTAAAAGCCGTGTAATATAATTATCGTCAATTAGTGGTGACAAACACATTAAGTAAGAATTAATATCAAGATATATACGTTTATGTAAATTATGATATCGCTTCCTTATTTCGAAAATAATACAACTCGGTAATATTTGAGTCATTACCATAAATGAATTATAAACATTACTTTATCAATCATCAAAAATGAACTCACTTAAAAAAAAAAATTCTATAAAAAATAGTTAAAATTATCACTACTGGAAAAGAGTGGTTTTAAAGAAAACGTCAAAGTCGTCAGAACCAAACAAAGATGATTTTTTTAAGGCTGGAATTGTGAAATGAAAGTGACATTTGTTAAAAATATATCTTTTTACCAGTATTATTTGATTAGTTAATAATTTTCCGTCAAGTTGGAAAATTGTTTTTCTCCTTTCTGGAAAACTGACTTTTTTCAATTCTGTTACTTTTGAACAAAGAGAGCAATATATTTATTTAAATGTTTGATTTATTTGCATTACTATTTAAAACATTTGAAATCAAGCAACTTCTGCGTTCTTTTGCAACTGATAGAATCTTCTTTTTTTTGTTACAGGCATTTCTTGAAATGGGGGACGAGAATGCTGCGGCGACCATGGTGAACTATTACGCTACCGGCGTGGCTCAACTCAGAGGCAGAGCAGTCTACGTGCAGTTCAGCAATCACCGTGAACTCAAGACGGATCAAACGCACTCCAACAACGCGGTCAGTAGCCCAACAAATGATGTCGCCAACACCTCTGAGGTCTGTGTCATACTTCTCGCTTCACTTCTTTCTCGCTTCACTAAACTTCGGGAATGGCCGCATGAACTACTACGCTATTCTCGCCGAACTAACTCTCTTTCGATCTTCTTCTAACACTTACACTTGCTTCTTTCCTTTTCTATCAATGACGCAGATACCTAAAGTGATGTTGAACTTTATAAGCTAATAGACCAACGACATATATACATAGACCAAGTATTCTGTTCGTAACTTGAAGCTGGAAGATGCAGTTTAACTAGATCCATTGCTCTCTTTCTATCTTAAAAGAGAGGAGTGTTCTTAACAGTTGCAGGTGTAAGATAGATTGAAATAACACGGATCCTCAATAGTCACTTAAATGGTCAATTTCCGGCTTCATTCCCCATCACTGAAAAGCGTGAGAATGCTTGATCTATGTACATATGTCGTTGGAATAGATATGTATCATTTAATCGTAAAATTATTTATTTTGTAGATGATAATGTTTTTAATCGATGAAAATTGACGTAATAATGTTACACTGAAAAAAAATTTTGATAAAATGAAAACGTACTAACAAAAATGACATTTTGATTAGCGAGACCAAATAGAATTTCTTTTATGATAATAAAAAATTCTATTTGGTCTCACATCATATAGACGTAATAAGAATAAAGATACACGGCCAGTCTTGTGCTATTCGTGACGTGCACGCGTGCTCTTGGCGCCGAAACACTACTGTGTCTCTTGATAGACACAGTAGTGTTTCGGCGCATTCTTATAAAGTTGTTACTCTCGATTTAGAAAGAAAGAGGTAATAACATATCGCTCTCTCTTTCTAAAATATCGAGTTAAAGAGAAATACTCAACTTTTTCTAATGGAGTGTAGACGTCAAGAACAGATAAGTCCATACTGAGAAAAATGTCTGGTTGAATTAATTGGAATTCTGATTGAAAATGGACGAATCAGAATTTTCTAAAAACTAATTTTTGTTAAATCTAGAATTCTAGTTGATATAACCAAAATTCTGATTGATGTAATCAGAATCTTCTAGTTTGTCCATTTTCCATCAGAAATTTTTCTCAGTGTATTCTTCTATGTCTACGGATCTCATCAAAATGCCATTCTTGTTGATCTATGTTTTGTCAGTTCAATCAAAACATTTTCCTCAGTTTTACATACTCATCTGTGAAGCAAGGATACACCCGTCGCTTTACGTCCCATCGATACGGTGACTTCGATGCCTCGAGGCGTTAGCCGAAGGTGGGCAAGCATGAAACCAGAGACTCCTGTCAATACAATAGTTGTTAAATTAGCTTCGACAGTATGTTGTTTATGTGGGCTAATTAATTAAGCCGACATCCTTGCATATAAATATCTTTGATCAGAATCCAAACACATATACGGCGTGCACGATCATGCGAGAGCGGGTGGAACGCCATGGCCATTTCGTCGTCAAGTCAATCTAAACACTCGCGTCCGCAAACTCCGTTATAATTAATGCGTCCATAATTTATGAACGATCCCTCGGGCGCGACGGTTTATCCCGCTACACCCGCCAAACCCTTCGTCTACGTGACACACGGTCCTGCATACTACTTGCAACTTGCGTATGTCATCGTATGCTGCCGGTCATCATCGGAACTAGTTAACTCACTGCGCAATTTGGGGCCGCACGGCCGTTTCGAATGAAATTTGTCAACGAATTAATTAGCACCCGAATTGAACTGGCGAATCAATTAACGGAATTCAGTTAGGTCTATTCACGTCAACAGTTCCGAAGACAAAGCCGTTCACCAAGAGCTCAGTGATTCTTTATTATGTATATTTAGATCTATAAAAAATATAAAAGCAAGAATCAATCTTATTAAAGAACGAGTGCTCATTGAGCGACTTTATCTTCTGAACGCAGCTATTGTGTATACCAATTTACGTTCTACACTATTATTAGATGTGTTCAAGTCACTACAAAACTGCTAGCTTGTTTGTCGAGTGATCAAACATGATTAGTTTTCATTTATAGACTCAATAGAGAGTCTATAGGAAAGAGGCGCCAGCTAATCACGCGATCCTAAGTAAGAATTACTTTAGTCAGTTTCAGATTCTTTGCTTCTAAGCAAGAAAGAATTACTCCAGCCAATTGCAGATCATAATACTTCTAAGCAGGAATTATTCTAATTAATCATAAATTTTATGATCTTAAGTAAGAATTATTCCAGCTAATCATAGAGAGAGAGTCACTTGACTCTGTTAGTGTTCCTCTCCCTTTAGATTTTGTAGATCCAATTAATCGCACAATCAATCGTAAACAGCTTCATCCGACTTGAACTCGGCCATTATGTTCGCTCTAGCACGTCAAAATTAACTCACATTTCTTTTTAAATATTACTGCTGAAGCAATCTATGGATTTGTTGACTCGAAATGATCAATGTGGAACGTTTCGACTTGGAAATCCGTCGAGAACGATACAGCGGTGGCTTCGAAGCGCGTGCTTGGCGAACCCGTGCCGCGGCATGTCATATTGTCTTCTCACTGTCGTCTTTCAATTCCGCCGTGGGAGAGTCGAGAGCGACGTCGAGCGGAGCTAGTATTATCGTTAACCAGCCCCGCCAATTCGCGTCGTCGACGTCGTAACTCCGTAAGTTTTCCGATGCCATCGTGTCGGTCTATCTACCTCCCTCCCGAGGACATCCCTAGTCCTCCCTCCTCTGAGTTACCGAACTGCCGTTGCCACCACCCCTGGGGGCGCAACTTCGCGGTGGAAACGGACACCGATCCCACGGGGAATCCTTCGGGAAAGTTTCACGTGTATATCGGGACGGGTGGAAAAGAGAGGGAGGGTGCGAGGTGATGATGGCCTGCACGAAAAATAATAAATAAGGGAGTAAATAGCCCGGCGACGCGCTTCGTCGCCACCGATGCTTTTTCTTGACACGTGGAAACTTCTCGCACACGTGACTGTGGAAACTTTACAATCCACGGGATTTACAGGATCGCGGTTGCTTGAGAACGAAATTCATCGTATTTCTGAGAAATTTCTGTACGCAAATTTTATGTTACCTTCTCACGATGTCATTAGTACTTCATTAAATGGATACGATCGTAAAACGCATAGAACGAGAAGTTAAAATGACTTTTTTTATGTACACTTAATGTATACTTTCTTTCATACGCCACGCAAGATTCTATTTCCAGAAGTCGTTTCCAACTTGCTACATGAAGATTTAATTTTTAATATTTATTTTTATTTATATATATTTATATATATATCTGTAGGTATATATTACTTTTATAATGTTCACTTCAAGCAAGGGAATATTATACATATATTTGCTAAATTTACTACTAACGTAAATTAAATTTCGTCAAAGAAAAATTAATTGCGAGCTATGTTAAAAATAAACATCTAGAATTTATATTTAATGTAAACTTAAAAATATACATACATTTAAAGTCTTTCTTCAATTATTAAAATAATACTGTTGTCAGAGATAAAACTATTTGTATCAAACATTAAAATAATTCTTGATTGTGACAGTGAATGTTTTTCAAAACAGAAATGATATTTCCGCTCATCAAAAGAGCGTTATATTTCATATTAATTATTCATTCTAAAACAAAAGACTGCACTAATTTTGTTTCTGTTCTAATTTCCGTTCTAAATAAAAAAACTCGAATGCAGTCCATAAAGAAAGTACATTTCTTCAAGCGTTTCTAGCAAACCGTAATTTTATTAGCATATATGTTTTTATAGCTGTAACTATAAATATCTCTATTTGGCCTTTCTGTATTTATTTGATTTATTCAAATAGCGATCTAGATTATTTTTTATACACATTGACCTTTCAATACGTTCTTTCCTTACACATACTAGTTATCGCGATAAACATTGCCACATGCTTCAATAGTCAAATTGGAACTTGTTTCGAATGATCGGGAGGTTCCAGATTCAGACCTTGGCTGGGTTAATATTTTTTTGCAATAAGTTCTTCGCAGTATTTTAAGATGCTTAAGAGCATCATTATTAAATGGACGATCAATTTAACAATACTGTAATTTTAGCTTCAGTTTATGATTGCAAGTCTGGCAATATTCGGCGCGCAGTTTATATAACTGGAAGATGTATTTAAAATTTACACATAAAATATTAATAGACACAAGATCTAACCTTGAGCTTTGGCCTTTCTAAATTTATTTGATTTAAACATTCCGTTCAACTCTAAAATTAATTAAACGCCGATACTCATATATAAAAGCAACATTAAAATTACCCTTGCATCTTTCTTGGGTAAAAAAAAAAGAAAGAAAGTGACGGTGGTGCTTCCACGGGGAATGCAAAGATGCTCCGCGGAGGGCTTCACGGCGCGTTCGCTTCGTCTACGGTCGAATGATTTCTCACCGAGCGTCCGGGCTGACAAACGACACCGAAAAAGCAATCACCGTGAAAGCCTCGGCAATGCACTGCTCGTGCATCGGCCTCTGTCTCTACGTGAGCGACGATGATGCCGGAAATTTTGCGGTCCAAACACAAGACAAACGTCGTGCCAGCCTTCACCCGCTTGGAACGAGAAATCAATTTTGTATGAACGAAGGAACAAATCTGCGACGACGGCTGCCACGAAACGTCAGCTCGATGCCTTTTACTCTCGATTAAAATATTGTTTTCAATCATGCGTTTTCAATGTAGGACGAATGACTTATGCGAATCACATCAGTTTCTTCATTCTTACTCATCGTGCAATTGAATCTTTAAAAACTTATGTAATGATTCTGTATTTTTACTTTTGACATTAATATTTTTTTTTTTAGCTTACTATGTCTTGATTTAATTATGAATCTGAACTAAAATTTTACTACTACAGTATTCACTACTTGAAAAATCTAGAAAACCTGAAATTTTAAAGGGATTTTTTTTTCATTTTTATATAATTCTATAATATAAATTAATTTTTTTTTCTAAAAAATTAGAAATTTTTATGAAATTTTATTGATACTCAGAGAAAATTTTTTGGAATTTTA